TGAGTTGGGCCCCATCCCTTCCTGCTCAGAACCTTCCCGTGGCTCCGTCTCACTCAGGTGGAAGCCCGCGTCCTCCCCGTGGCCCACAGGGGCCCACACGATCTGCCTCCTCTTCACCAGTCGGCCTCCTCTCTGCTCTGTGACCACATCCAGCATGTTCCCGCCTCAGGACATTTGCACCGGCTGTTCCCACTGCCTGGGCGCTCTTCCTCCAGGTACCCGCGTGGCTCCCTCTCCCCTCCCCACTCAGGTCCCTGCTCAAGTGTCACCTTCTCAGTGAGGCTCTCCCTGACCCATTCATTGAAAATTCCAACCCCCCCTACCCTCAACACTCCTGATCCCTGCCTTATTTCTCTCCTCAGCCTCATCATCTTACTTCCTCTGTTTTTCTGATCTCGTTTATTGGCTGTCTCCTTGCCCCTAGAATGTGAGCTCTGCCAAGGCTGGGGTGTTTCTGGCTGTTCTGGCCCTGGGCCTGGCAGGGATCAGCCCTCCGTGGCCATCAGTAATTGGGTGGGTGGGTGGGTGTAATGGGGTCGTTTGTGGGCAGAGTAGATGTTTGCCAAGGAGGGGGCTTGGGGACATGTCAGTTCCAGAGCTTGAGGCGGGGTCTGGGGACAGGTGCCTGAGGGTTCCTTGGAGGAAGCAGGCTCAGGGTGGGAGGCCTGAAGAGAGATTTGGGTGGGACGAGTGGGGGCTGTGCAGGTGGGCAGCAAAAGCTGAGCACAGCTGTGTTGGGGGGGGGGTGTGGGGCGGTAAGGGGGGCGGTGAGGAGCCTGCTGTGGGCCAGGTGGTAGGCCGGACTCCCCCTCCGTTGTCAGAGCACAGCCCAGGGAGGTAGGGGGTAAACTGAGGCAGGGAAGGGCTTCCGGGAGCTGGTAGGTAAAGATCCTGGCAGGAGCGTGAGTGGGAGCCGGTGGTGGAAGCATGGTGGGCAGGCTGGGGGTGGCGAGCGCTCCTTCACCTCCCCTTCCTGATTGCGGGTTTCCTTCTGCTGGGTGTGAAGGGATAGCTGTGCCCCTGCCACGTCCTCCACTCTGCCCCTGGGCCCCGCGTCTGGCTGGGTCAGCTCCCTCCTCTGTCCACTGCAGGGAGCAGCTCTATTCTGGGGGGCCGGGGCAGCAGGGGGCCGGACTTTTACACACACACACACACACACACACACACACACACACACAGACACGCACGCACGGCTTTGTCACACAGATGGGTCTTTCTCTCGCCCTGGGCTGATTTCCTTGGTGGGGGGAGTTGGGGGGGGCAATTTTCTTCTCATGAGGGGTCAGAGGGTAGAACAAGTCGGTGCAAGAGGTGACTGGATAACGCGAGGCTTCTGCTAGGACAGATTGGAAACTGCCTGTCCCATGTGCTGAATAATTCAAAGGCTTTCTTTTTAATTGAAATCAACATTTTAGAGTAGGATGCAAAATGTGCCCGCGTGTTTGGATCAAACGCTGGGCTTCAGAGTTGTCTGTGCCCTGGCCAGTGGCCATGGGCTGCACGCGCTCCCCTATTCCATCTCTCTGGGGTTGCTGGTTCACCCCCTGCCTCTGGGTTCCCAGTGTTTCTCTGCCAGTTTCACAAGTCCTGCCCGGCCGTCTTGGCGTCTGAGCGGGGGTAGTGTAGCGGGTGCAGATGAATCGGTTCGCTCACCCGGTGTTCCTTGAGTGCCTGCTTGGGGCCGGGCAGTGTGGTAGGCACTGGGGTACGGGGGAGCAAGAGGGAGGCCCGGCCCTGCCCCTGTGGAGCTGGCGTTCTCGTGGGAGAGGACGACACTCAAGAATTACACACACACGGTGTATGTGTAAGTGCATTGAGGAAAAATACAGCCAGGAAAGGGGCATCGAGGGTGACAGGACAGGAACAGGGTCGTTCGAGCACAGGCAAGTGTGGAGGGAAAGAGGGAGGAGGGAGCCACGTGCAGATCAGCGAGAAGACGGTTCCAGCAGGTGGAGTGGACAGCCAGTGCAGAGGCCCTGAGGTGGGACGTGTCTGGGGTTTGAAGAACAGCGAGGAGGCCCGTGTGACTGGGGCGGAGTGAGCGAGGGGCGTGTGGGAGGGGAGGAGGGCAGAGAGGTGATGGGCAGACCGCACACGGCCCGTGGGCCACGGCGAGGAGTCTGGGGGCCAGCAAAGGGATTAAGGATGTCGACTCTGTAGCCGATTGGACCGTCTTCCAGGCCCAGCTCTGCCTGGTGACCTTAGCGAGAGATTTCACCTTTGTGTGCCTCAGTTTCCACACCTGCACGATGGGGATGAGAAGAGCTGTTCTGCTGAGGTCATGGGTGTCACTGAGCTTGGCGTTGGCATCTGCACAGGCGCGGGGTCCCCTCCTGGTGGTAGGGGGGGTAAGTCCTGGGGCGGAGCTTCCGGAAGCCGCCTGTGGTGGCAGGGACTGGTGTTTGGACATCTTCTCCGCTGCAGGGTGTCATGCCAGAGGCCTGTGGAAAAGGTGGGCGAGGAGCCACTTCGTGCTGCCTCCCGCTACCCCTGGGGGCAGAGCAGGTCAGGCCGGAGGTCGGGACCCTCAGCACCAGGAGAGGAAGAACAGTGTCTTGGTGCAGACAGAGAGGCTGGGGAGGGAGAGAGGAACCGAGGCCGGGGCCAGCCTTGGAGATGATGGTGGTGATAATAATAATGACAAAAGCAATATCAGTGCCGCAGCCCACCAGGACCGGGCAGGCCGGTAAGAGCCCAGACTTTGGTCCCCGACTGCCCGGGTTCAAATCCTGGGGACCCTGGACAAGGGGTTCCCCTCTCTGAGCCTCAGTCTCCCCACCTGTGAGTTGGGGTGATGAGAGTACCTGTCTCCCAGCCTGGTCGTGAGGACGGACTGGGATTCGACACCGAGGGCCCCGAGTGGGCCCAGCACACGGGAATCTCTGAAGACGCAGCTGCTGTTCCTTACGGGAGCTGGCGGGGCCGGGCTCTGGGTTAGATGGTCCTGGGGTCTCACGTCCACTCTGCTACCAAGCTGTGTGACCTGGGCAAGCGGGCTGCCTCTCTGTGCCTCGTTTTCCTTGTCTGTAACACGAGGCTCGTAGTGGCCCTTCCTCCGGGGTCAGGTGCGCCGATCAAGCGAGGGGCTCTGGGTAGCGCGCTTGGAAGAGGGGCCGGCACACGGTGGGTGCTCGGTGAGTGTGGGCTGCTCCTGTGATGCTGACTGACTGACTGAGCACCTGCTGGCCGTGTGCGGCTGCCCTGGGGCCAGGCCGGCAGTGCCCTGTTCTCTGTGGCTCCTCGTAAGAAGTCCAGGAGCTGGTCCTGTCATCGCCCTCTGTGAACAGAGGAGGAAACTAGGCACAGAGCGGCTGAGCTGTGGCCCAGGGCCGCAGTGAGCTCCTGGGGTGGGGTGGCTCGTCCCACCTCACAGGTACAGGCAGCTAGGTGGCACAGCGCGGAGCTGCAGAGCCAGGGTTTGGGGCCCTGGGCCGTCTGAGTCCCGAGTTCCCAGGACCCCCTGCTCTGGCGCAGGCCCCTACCTTTACGTAGCCACTCCCGTCCCTCCCCTTCTGAGCCCCCTGGGGTCAGGGCTGGGGGTTTGGTGGGAAGGGCAGGCCCGGAGGGGGAGCCGGCAGTGCTGGGAGCTGCCCAGGGTGGGCCCCCGCCTGGTCATTATAAACACGGGCAGTTCCTCTGTTTGTCCTGCGCTCCGTGTGGTGCCTAGAGGGAAGGGGTGGCCCCGGCAAAGATCCGGAGGTGTGCCCCTCCACCCCCTTCCTCTGCAGGGTCCCCCGGGGCCGGGGCCGGGGCCGGGGCTGGCTGCAGTGAGCACAGGCGCCTTGGGCGTCTATGGGTCAGGGTGCTGAGTCGGCTGGCCCATCTTCCAGGCTGCCTCCGGCCCACCCCATCTTGACCCTAAGCGCCTCCCACCTGGGGTCTGCCGCGCCCTCTGCTGGCTTTAGTGAGGGTCACGTGGCTGATCCTGTCCTGCAGAGGCCTGAGCTGACTTGGTGCCCCCAGGCTGGGGGCTGGGGGTGGAGGATGGGCAGGGCAAAGAGTGAGAGAGGCTGGGCCTGGGGCCGCACGGGGGCACGTCTGGGAGACAGTGGAGGTGATAGGACAGGGTGAAGACCTGGGGCGGCAGAGCAGGGAAGGTGGGGGAGGGTTGGGTGCAGGGACAAGGCTAGGAGCTGGAACTGGAAAGACGGAGCTGAGGCCAGAGAAGCCTCTGGAGAGAGAACAGGGTGGGTCAGGGCCACGGTGGGTGGGCAGGGAGGGAAGTCCGGGAGGGAGGGATGGACCTTGTTCAGGGGGCTGGGATGGCGGCTCCTGGCTTGGTTGGGGTCAGAGAAGGGGCTGAGGCGGAGGCACAGGGGCCTGGTCCTGGCCAGGGCTGTCCCACCCCACATCCAGGCGGGGGGCAGGGGGCCAGAGCAAGCAGGGAAACTGGGCCGCTGGGGGAGCCTGGCCAGACCTGGCTCTGGCCACCTGCTGGCCAGGAGGCCTGGACCAGTTGAAACAGGTTGGCTGCTGGGTCCCCACCCACCTCCCACTGGGCTCCCACTGCTAAACCGGTTCTCCTGGATGGCTGCCCATGATGGTCCTCCCTCTGGGCCAGGGGCGGTGGCCTGTCCTCGCCTCACAGAGCTGCTCCCACAGGAAAGGAGCCGGGAGGGGAGCCAGGGGCTGGAGGGGCCATGTCCTGGACACGCTGTGAGCATCCTCACTGGGTCACACACTTACTGAGCCTGAGCCAACCCTGGGCCAGGCGCTGGGGAGCCAGCCATGAGCCAGACAAAAGTCCCCACCAGTGCGTCTCCCCTCGTCTTGTGGGTCTCAGCTTACAGGGCCCCTCTTCTGGGGAGCCTCCCCTAAACCCTACCCTGCCATCCCTGCAGGCTGTCTGCGCTCCCTGACCCCAGCCTCAGCCACTCTAGGCTGACAGAGGCTGTCTGGGTCACCGCTGTGCCCCTATGAGTTATTAATTAATGAATGAACAAACAAATGAATGAACCAACGAATGAATTGGCGAATGGCATTTTCTTCCCATTTTGCAGATGAGTAACCCGAAGCCCCAGGAGGAGACCTCGCCTGCCCAGAGGCACTTCTAGCACAGCCAGCATCAAACCAGGTCTGTGGGACAGGGGGACAGGACCTGGGGCCCTCAAGCTCAGACTCTGCTCGGGGTGATCCTGATCATTGGCGTGGCACACGTGGTTGATCAAGGCACAGAGAGGTTAAGTCACTTGCCCAAGGTCGCATGTCATAAGTGGCAGAGAAGTTTGCACTCTGGCCGTCTGGCTGCCCTCCCATCCCTTCTCTGGTCTCCCTGTGGGACACCACCGTCAGTGCGTCCCCACTCCGGCCCCTGTGGCTTCTGGACCAGCTTCTGTTGAGTGTGCACTGTCCTGGTGCTGTCCTGAGTCCCGACTGGAGCACAGACCCCAAAGACGGGGCCTGCTTTGTCTGTTAGTGTCTGTTCTGAAGTGGATCCTTCCACACTGCATGGTCTTGCTGAGGACCGTCCCTCCTCTGACCCTCAGTCTCCGCATCTATAAAGTGGGAGTGTCGAGTGAGGCTGCTTGGGGTCGTGCATAGGACAGGGGCTCAGGAACTGTTTGTTGAACGAGTAACCGAGGGGATGAGGCGTTCCTAGCCCAGAGTCCGGGCTGCAAAGGCAGGGCTGGTTGTGGCCAGGACTTTCGTCACCGAGTGCACATGGGGCACCAGGCTCTGTGCTGGGCAGGGGGTGGGACACGGGAACTGGGCAGCTGAGACCCGGGACACTGACTTCTAGTGATGGGGTGCAGACGCTGAGCTAGTGAACACAAGAACCAACAGCAGAATTTCCAGAAGTAAATGTACCATGAAGTGATGTGGTGGAAGGACAGTGGGGCGTGGGGGCCCTTTTACTTGTGTGATCAGGAAAGGATTCACCAACGACTCTGAGACCTAAAGGAGGGGAATCCCTCCACTCACATGGGTGGATACTGGGGAAGGGTGTTCCACACAGAGGGAACAGCTGGTGCAAAGACCCTGGGGTTTGAAAGCCAACGTGAGCGAGGGGGAGATGGAGCAGAGAGATGATGGGGACAGGTCGTGTAGGGTGGGCCACGGGGAGGACTCGGCTTTTCCCTGAGTGAGATGGAGCCATGGGAAGGCTCTGAGTGGGGGAGGGACCTGACTCGGGTGTTCACGGGGTCCCTTGGGCTGCACATGGGGGACAGACTGTGGAGGGGTGGGGGCGGGGAGACAAGGATAGACAGCACCAGGGCAGGGCCAGAGGAGTGGGGAGACATGGGCAGATCCTGGTGAGCGGCCCCCTCCACAGGCCGTAGGAGCCCAAGTCTGCGCCCCCGGGGCGCTGACAGCCTCGGCGCCATGTTCGGGAAGAAGAAGAAGCGGGTTGAGATCTCGGCGCCGTCCAACTTCGAGCACCGCGTGCACACGGGCTTCGACCAGCACGAGCAGAAGTTCACGGGGCTGCCCCGCCAGTGGCAGAGCCTGATCGAGGAGTCGGCCCGCCGGCCCAAGCCCCTCATTGACCCCGCCTGCATCACCTCCATCCAGCCCGGGGCCCCCAAGGTATGTCAGCGCCCCCACCGCCTCTCCTGACCCATGCCGACCCCCACCAGGGACCCGAGCGCCTAACCCCACCCTTGAGCCTGTGCCAGCACCTCCTCGCTGACCTCCAGACAGAGACACTCCCACCTTCCACCCTAATCCTGCCCCTGACGCTCGCCTTTCCCCCACCTCTCCTCCCACGGACCCCTCACCCTGCCTGACACTGAGCCCTGGTCCTGAGAACCCCACAAGTCCCGTGAGCCCCCCGACAGCTCCCACACAGCCTCCAACTCTAGCCCCTCTCCTGGAGCCTCACACCCTGAGCTCTGCCCCTGCCCCAGACTTGTTCTTGGGCCTCACGGAGCTCCCCGCGGGGGGAGGGACAGCCGTTTCCCAGATGCTGACCGCCCCCGGTGGTCAGGCTGGGCTGGGGGAGCCCAGAGGAGGCCCCTGACCCAGGCCCCAGGTCCAGGCCAGCTTCTTGGAGCTGGGGACGCCAGGGCTGAGGGCTGAGGAGGAAGAGTCATGGAGGCCAGTGGCGGGGGCAGGGCTTTTAGTGGAGGAAACGGCCCGTGGGAAGCGTTGGGGGTTTTGGGGTTTGGGGTTATTTTTTTCCTGCCATCTTGAGCATAAGGGCAGAGTGGGGATTTGAGCCAAGGTCAGTTCCCAAGGCCCCTCCTCTCCACTCCTCTCCTGTCTCCGTGGTCCAGGTGCCCAGGCTGGTGGGAGGCCACGCCCGGCCTGGGAAGCCAGTCCTGGAGCTTTGGACTTTATCCCAAGGGCAGTGGGAACCCGGAAGGGCTGCGGGCCAGGGGAACTTGGCCAGGGTTGTTCCGAGGGGTGGAGATGGGTGTGCCAGGCTGCAGGCTCAGCGCCCGGGGGCAGGCCTGCGGCTGACTCATCCTCTCCCGGCCCAGCCCAGGCCTGGCGGGGGGAGGCCCCGGGTGGCCAGCAAGGTGGGCGCAGACATAAGTGTGGCCGCTCTCCCACCAGGGTCTCAGTCTGGCTGCCCACTGAGGCGTTCATGCACCATGCAGGGTGCTTTTGAATATTTGAATTCTTTGCCACTGCTTAAAAAAGCGAGACTTCCCATCCAAGTCTGTGTTTCTGGCCTCTCCTGACAAATCGGCTGGAGGCGAGTGGCCGCTGCCTCTGCAGACGGGGCCCTGGCTCTCCCGGGCCCACAGGCCCCACCCAGCCCGCCTCAGTTCCATGCCCTGCCTGGCCCCGGGGCTGCTTGCGTGCTGGCTGTGCCCTCACCAGGGCGCCTCCTAAATCCAGCCCTTGCTTGGCCTGCCAGCCATGAGCCCTCACTGGGGCCGTGTCCACCAGGAGGAGGGGCCACCTCGTCTAGAGTCACACAAAGGTCCCCACAGGCTGGCGCTGTCCTGGGACCCTGTGGGCACTCGTGTTTGCTGAATCTCCCCAGTCCTCCCAGGCCCTCCCCCGACCCCAGGGACTTCTCGACCTCTTATTCCCGCACGGAGTCTGACCAGCGGTCTCCCTTGCTTCCCTGGGCCCCTGGGCAAGGCCAGGCTTCCAGGCTGGCAGCCAAGGCCTAGGAGCAGCAGAGGCAGGGGCGGGCCCCTCAGGGGCACTGCAGGCAGGTTTCACGGGATCAGTGTTTTCTGCACGTTAGAGGCAGTTCTGGCTTCAGGATGTCTGGCAGCCTGGGCCCGGGCGCTGCATGCCAGCGATGATAGCAGAGGGCTGGGGGCGCATTCTCTGCTGCCCGCGCCTCCTCCCAGTCAGCCTCATCACTCACTCACTGGTTCAGCACGTGTTTATTAAGCACCTTCTGCATACCAGACACTATTCTAGGTGCTGAGACGTAACAGAGCAGAAACAGTGGCCGCCCTCATGAACACTGCACTGGGGAGCAGGCGATGGACAGCTGTATGCACGCTTTGTGTCAGCTGGTTTAAGAGCTCTAGAGAAAAGGAAAGCAGGGAGAGGGGATAGGGATGTCGGGGCGGCATTTTAGACCGTGGTAGTCAGCGATAGCCTCCTCTCAGAAGCTGAGTTTCCAGCAAAGACCTGAAGGAGGGGAGGGAGGAGCCATGGGCACACTTAGGGGAAGATGTTCCAGGCAGAGTGAACAGCCAGTGCAAAGGCCCTGAGGTGGGAGCAGGCCTGGTGTGTTTGAGGAGCAGTGAGGACAGGCCTGTGTGCTGGAGCTGAGTGGGGGGCAAGGGGGACCCTGGAGGCCATGACTCAATACTCGAGGGAAGAGATGGCCATGAGCTGAGTCAGGGTGGTGGCCATGGTGGGTGAAGACTGAGTGGATTCGGGACACTTTACATGGGCATTCGCATTTGCCGTCCCTGCGCCTGGGATCCTCCTGCCCTCTCCCTGGACCCCACCCTCAGCCTCCAGGGGAACAGAGCGTGGTTTGGGGGTTAACAACCCTGGCAGGCTGCGGGGGAGAGACGTGCCAAGCTATGCCCTGGCCCCAGCATCCTGTAATTTGCAGTTCTCCGGGGCTGATTATGAGGTGGCATGGCCTCTGCCCTCCTTCCCCTCCACCCCATGGGGCAGGGACCTCCCCCAGCCCGGAGAGCAGGTGAGAGACAGGGAGCTTCTCAGGGGGGCATCCAGCCCGGGGTACGACAGCCTGACCTGTGACTGACGTCGGGGTGCTGGGGGAGGGACTGCAGGGGCTCCCTGGTACCGCCCCCACCCGCCCCCATCATCACCCCATGGCATTTCTTCATTCCGTCTCTGTCTTGTCTCTATGTGTGCTGTGTTGTCCTGTCCATGTGTGTCGGATCCACGTCCTGTCTCCCCCTCCTCCTTGCCCGGCCCTCGCCCCGCCATTGCCCCGGACCCCAGACCATCGTGCGGGGCAGCAAAGGCGCCAAGGATGGGGCCCTCACCCTGCTGCTCGACGAGTTTGAGAACATGTCGGTGACACGCTCCAACTCCCTGCGGAGAGACAGCCCGCCGCCACCCGCCCGTGCCCGCCAGGAGAACGGGATGCCCGCGGAGCAGGCTGCCACGGCCAGAGGGGGCCCGGAGAAGGCGGGCGGCCATGGCCGGGTCGCCGGTCGCAGCGAAGGGGGTGGCAGCAGTGGTGACAGGCGGCGGGCGGGGCCGGAGAAGAGGCCCAAGTCTTCCAGGGAGGGCTCAGGGGGCCCCCAGGAGTCTTCCCGGGACAAGCGCCCCCTCTCCGGGCCTGACGTCGGCACCCCCCAGCCTGCCAGTCTGGCCAGTGGGGCGAAAGTGGCAGCTGGCCGGCCCTTTAACACGTACCCGAGGGCTGACACGGACCACCCGTCCCGGGGCACCCAGGTAACCCATCCCCCTGCCCCAGGACCCCCCTATCGTCCCCTGGCCCAAAGCTTCCCCAGGGTGCCCCACCTACCAGCTCCACCCCGTGCCCAGCCCGCTGTCTGTCTCCATCCTGACCGCCATGTGTCTGTCCCTCAGCCGGGGCCCCTGTCCTTCTCAGAGGGCAAAGCCGGCCCCCCAGCCCCTCCGCTGACAGCCGCCTCTCTTTTGTGTTTCAGGGGGACCCTCACAACCTGGCCCCCAATGGGCCGTCAGCAGGGAGCCTGGCTGTCCCCCAGTCCTCCTCCTCCTCCTCCTCCCGGCCTCCCACCCGAGCCCGCGGCACCCCCAGCCCTGGAGTGCTGGGCCCCCACGCTTCTGAGCCCCAGCTGGCCCCTGCAGCCCGCACCGTCGCCGCCCCTGCCGTCCCCCCCGCCCCCGGGCCCCCCGGCCCCCGCTCGCCTCAGCGGGAGCCCCAGCGAGTGTCGCACGAGCAGTTCCGGGCCGCCCTGCAGCTGGTGGTGGACCCTGGGGACCCTCGCTCCTACCTGGACAACTTCATCAAGATCGGCGAGGGCTCCACGGGCATCGTGTGCATTGCCACTGTACGCAGCTCGGGCCGGCTGGTGGCCGTCAAGAAGATGGACCTGCGCAAGCAGCAGAGGCGCGAGCTGCTCTTCAACGAGGTGGGCCTGCCGTCCCCGTCTCCATTTCAGCTTTCTCCCGTTGCTCCGCCTCCAGGAGGCCCGCTCTGCACCAGGCCTGGTGGAGTGGCGATGGGAGGAGGTCCTTTCAGGCCGCGGTTCCCAGGGCTGGCTTCTGGGCCCGTCTTTCCCTGGCTCCTCGCCCCTCCCCAGGCTGTCCCCTCTGTGCTGACAGCACCCACCGTCTCTGTCTTACCCAGCCCTGGCCTCTCCCCGAGCCCCCAGTCCGCGCTCCCTTGGGCCACAGAACCTTGCCCTCTGCATGCCTTCTAGGCCCCTCACATACCCATTGAGTCCCAAACTGCCCCTAAAGCATCTCCTCTGGTTCCCTGTGTCAGAGAGGCCCATCCACCCTGTCTCCAGCCAGACCCTGGGCCCTCCCTGTCCCCCAGCCGCAGCCTGTCAGCATCATCCCCACGCAGCCCCATCCTCCCCCACTGGGCCCTGCGTGGCCTCCCGTCTTGGGCGGCCCCCCCTCCCCGGGCATTCCCCCACACTGCAGGCCTGCCTCTGACCCTTGTGGCGCCCCCTGGTGCCCTCAGGTTAAAGGCCTGGCCCCTTTGCTGGGCATTGGAGATGCGGCCCCCATCTAGGCCCTTGGTCGTGGCCTGCCCTGGGCTTTGGCCGTTGGTGGCCTCTGCTGGGGAGCTTGTGACAAAGGCAGACTCCTGGCTCCTTGCCCAGAGGAATCCGTGTTGGGAGCAGCCCCCGGGCTCTGATGCCAGAGTCCCAGGAGGACGTCAGGCCTGGAGGTCTCTCAGCTCCCAGTCTCAGCACTCGGGCTGTGCCCCATCAGCCGTCCGCTGTCCCTCAGTATTACGGGGCTCCAGCTGCACCGCGAGCGTCCGGTTCTCGTGGCCCCTGAACCCCGTGTGCCCGTGTCCTCCAGGCTCGGCCACGCTGCCCCTGAAATCCACCCCCTTTGATTCTGACCTCGGCTGATGCCTGCTCGTCCTCTGATCTCCACCCTGTGCTTAGCCGCTCTCTTCCCATGTCCTCTCCCAACGCCAGCCTGACTGTCAGGGCCACGCAGGGACCAGCCCAGGACTGGTCAGAGATCCGGGTCAGAAACCGTGTGTGCAGGGTGGGGAGCACCCCCACACGCCGGCATCTGGCCTCAGGCTGCCTCTGAGGTCTGTCGGCTCTGGCAGTGGGCAGGGGTCCAGGGTGACCCCGATGAGCAAGAGTGACAGGTGGAACCGGGCCTGCGGCGTGGCGGGGCCCGAGCCCGGGCCGGAGAGGGAGGCAGGAGGGCAGCTGGTAGCGAGGGCTGAAGGCAGGGGCTGGCGGTCCTCCCTCCGCTGCGCTGACGCGTCCCCCCCACCCCCCCACACCCAGGTGGTGATCATGAGGGACTACCAGCACGAGAACGTGGTGGAGATGTACAACAGCTACCTGGTCAGGGATGAGCTCTGGGTGGTGATGGAGTTCCTGGAGGGAGGCGCCCTCACCGACATCGTCACCCACACCAGGTACTGCCGGGCAGCTGGAGCCAGCCTGCTGTCTCCCCAGGGTGCACCTGGGTCCCCTCTCCCATGACAGGACTAGTCCCCTCCAGACCCCTGGGGGTGGGGCCGTGTCTCAGAGCCAGCAGGGCCGGGTCCCCCTCGATCTTCCAGGGCGGGGCTGTGTCCCCTGCAGATCCCCCAGGGCAGGGCCTTGTCCCCCTCAGGTCCCCAGGGCAGTGGTGTGTCCCCCTCAGACCCCCAGGGCAGTGTTGTATTCTCCTCAATCCCCCAGAGCAGGGCCTTGTCCCCCTCGGGTCCCCAGGGCAGTGGCGTGTCCCCCTAGACTCCCAGGGCGGGGCCCTGTCTGCCCCTGGTGCTTACCCCCGCCCGCGCAGGATGAACGAGGAGCAGATAGCCGCCGTGTGCCTGGCCGTGCTGCAGGCCTTGTCCGTGCTCCACGCGCAGGGTGTCATCCACCGGGACATCAAGAGCGACTCCATCCTGCTGACCCACGACGGCAGGGTGAGGAGGGGGTGGCCCGGGCTCCCTTCTGCTGTTAGGCTCTGAGCCCAGGCCAGCGGCCTGAGGAGCAGGGAGTTGATTGTTGCTCGTGCAGCAGTCCGGAGTCAGGGTCCGGGTCAGCGGGGGGCTCTGTTCGTGCAGTCGTCAGGGACTCAGGCTGGCAGGGCTCTGCCCTCAGCACGGGGCGCTGTGAGCTATAGTCCAGCCCTGGGCCTGGAGGGGGAGGACGCACCTGGGCAGCTGGCCACAGCTCTCGGCCACATGCTTCTCCCTCCACTGAGAACCTGTTTCTAGCTGAGCACTCAGGGGTGGGCTGTGGGCCCCGTCCCATCTCGCATCTTCGGGACTGAAGTTCTGAATCTGAGATCCATGGATGAGCCTCACGGTGCCCAGAACCTGCATTTACGTTCCAAGAGTGGACATGCTGTTCAGTGGGAGGGGCCCCTTGACTGTCACCAAATTCCTGTTCGCGGTTCTCCTGTCCTCCCCCAGGAAAGTTAAGCCAGCCAACGGAGGCGAGGCGGGGGCTCTGTTTCCCTGTGAATCTCAGTTGGGGCCCATGAACACCTAAAGATATCCACAGATGTGTTTGGGGACATCTGTGAGCCTTGTCTGCACACCGTGTGGGGATGCTTTCCTGGGGTGGGAAGATCTGTAATTACCTCAAGAGTCTGAAAGGGGCCCATGGTTCCAAAAGAGGTGTAAATCCTTGGTTCTGGGGACGTGATTTTTGCAGAGGCGGGCCGTGTCCCCTCTACCCCTTGGGCAGTGCTGCGTCCCCCTCACACCTGTCAGCTGAGGACGTGCTGCCTCCAGGGAAGCAGGGGCCCAGGGCATGGGCTTGGGAGCCCACCCCAGTCTCAGCCCCCGCCCAGCCTTTGGTACCTGTGGGACTCAGGCCACTTCGCCCCAGAGCCCCGGTGCAGAAGGAAGGCAGATGGAGTGATGTTGAGGAGGTGACACACCTGAGGGCCCTGCCGGGAGGTGGCGAGCTTCCCAGTGCTCTGGCTCTGACCTCTGGGCTGCACAGTGGAGAGCCACTGCATCCGCGGCCAGGGAATTAAAGAGGTGGACACCTCTGCTCACCCTGCCCCTGCCGGCCCCTCTGACCCCGCTGCCCCCGCCCTGCTCCAGGTGAAGCTGTCAGACTTCGGGTTCTGCGCCCAGGTGAGCAAGGAGGTGCCACGGAGGAAGTCACTGGTTGGCACGCCCTACTGGATGGCCCCGGAGCTCATCTCCCGCCTTCCCTACGGGCCAGAGGTGAGCCAGAGGCGACCCGGTTGTCTCACTGTCACCACCAGTTTACACTGTGACAGTCAGAACAGCCGGAGTGCTGGGGATGAGGTGGGCTCGGTCTGGGAATGGGTCGCCAGGGACGGTTTGTGGGAGAAGAGGTGGACACGCATCACACGTGCATCACTGGTAGGTGCTAGTTCAGAGCCGGGCCCAGGGCTTGGCAATGGGAACAGAATGCTGAGCAGAACTGGCCATGGCCCTGCCTGACGGCCTGGTGCAGGGGCTACAAACTGGCAGGCTCCTGGCTAGCGTGGTCTGAGGATGCTCTTGGAAGCATTTTAAAAAGAGAGCTCTCTGGCCTGGCCCAGTGGCGTAGTGGTTAAGTTCACGCACTCCACTTCGGCAGCCCAGGGTTCACAGGCTCGAATCCCGGGCATGGACCCCTGCACCACTCATCAAGCCATGCTGTGGCAGCATCCCACATACAAAATAGAGGAGGATGGGCACGGATGTTAGTTCAGAGCAAATCTTCCTCAGCAAAAAAAAAAAAAAAAAAAAAGCGGAAGATTGGCAGCAGATGTCAGGTCAGGGCCAAGCTCCCTCAAAAAAAATAAACAAATAAGTAAAAAGAGACCTCTCACATAAAAGTCTAAATTTACATTCTCTCTTGGAAAACCAAGAGATCGGGCCACATGGAGGCCAAATTTCTACATGGCAACAGTCAGCAGGCACCGAGGGGCCACCCTGCTTTAGAAAGGGCAGGGGCACCGTCGTCTTGGCCATAGTCCTCACCCATCCCTATTGCCTACACTGACCTGATTCGCTCACTGCCGTGACCTGCCTGGCCCTGAGGATTCCTCCACAGTCAGTCAACAAGACTTGACCCAGTGCCTGGCCATGAGAAAAGCACCCTGGGAAGCTGTCTGGCCGCACACCCAGTGTGGGATAGGTTATGGAGAGACTAAAGAAAGGACCCGGAGACGGTGTATGAGACATAAGGGTTTACTAGGTCTTACAGGGAATGTCCAGTGGTGGCTGGCTGAATAGAGTTGTGCACCTGCTCGAGTGTCCGTTGGCGGCTGGCTGGACAGAGTTACTGCTACCGTGGGTGGGGAGGGGGTTGCTATTATATAGGCAGGAGGACAGAGATTATGTGCTCGCCAAGAGGGCCTGTCCTTGGTATGACCAGTGTTGCCAGGAACAGTAGTTCATGTTAGAGGGGCTCTGTGTTCCTTTAAGATGTGGTGTTCTTTGAGTGAGATAAGTGAAGATCCGAGTTGGCCGGGCCCCGATCATTACAAACCCCAGCAGCTGGGCGTCCTGCCCAGAAGGACACATGGTTGTTACAGGGCACGTAGGCTGGCACCCCTACAGAACCATGTTGTGCGGGACCTCAAGCTGGAGCGGGGTTATACTAGGAGGGGAGGCTGCTGTGATTCTGAGGGGACATCTCAATCAGGATGCCTGTGAATGGCAAAACCAGCTCAAACAGATTTAGCATGAGAGCTGTGGGTCCCTGGAGCTGTGAAGGTAGGGGGTGACAGGCTTCCAGCCCAGCTGTCCAGGTGCTCTGTCCCTCCCCAGCTCTGATTTTCTCCATGTAGTCTTCACTCAGCCAGGCTCTCCCCTCTGGGAGCAGAGATGACCCTGGCAGCTCTGGGACACGTCTCCCTGCCTTTGAGTGCCACCGTTTTCCTGGATATTTTGGTTCAAGTCTCAGGGTTGACTCTGATTGGCTCAGCTTGGGTCACGTGCCCACCCCTGAGCCAATGACTGTGTCCCAACCCTGCTGACTGGGGAACCCGGTCACAGACCCACCAGACGCTCTGTGGACGCACAGTGAGGGAGGGGCTCCACCAGAGGAACCGGGGCTGGTCAGCAAGAGAAGGGGGCTGGAAGTTGGGTGGGCAGATCCTCTGAGGGCTCCCTGGGTGAGGGGTGCATGGGGTCCAGCAGGCTGGGCATCAGAAAGGGTGTTCTGGGCCCAGGGACTCCGAGAGCGAGGAGGCAACTGGGGGTCGTCCCTCCATGGGCTTCCCCCAGCACTGGCCCATCCCTGCCCCCACCGCAGGTGGACATCTGGTCTCTGGGGGTGATGGTGATTGAGATGGTGGACGGGGAGCCCCCCTACTTCAACGAGCCACCCCTCAAAGCCATGAAGATGATTCGGGACAACCTGCCACCCCGACTGAAGAACCTGCACAAGGTGGGCCCCTCGCCACAGGTGTGAGGGAGACGACGCACAGGCGGGTGGGGCGGCTGGGCGCCAGGCAGCCTCGCACCCAAGCAGTGACTGGGGTGTTGATGGCACCTGGGATGGCGCACCCCCGCCCCCGGCCTCGAGTGTCTGGGTAAACCCGAGTCCCCCGTGCCCTCACCATTCCACAAAGGTTGTGCTTAGGCTGGCCTGGCTGAACAGAGAGCCGGGTCCAGGAGGGGAGCCTTCCTGGTGGCGGGGATCGCCTGGTGAGAAGGGGGTGCCTGCAGGGCCCAGCTGCCACTGGCTCCTTGCTAAACCTCGAAAATGGGGAGAAACGAGCCCTTGGGGCCCTTGGATTCGTTGCGATGCTGGGGCCAAGCTCTGGACAGCTGGGACGTCTGTTTGGTCCCTGGGCATTAGATGACGTCAGTGCGTCTGACAGAGGAAGAAACCCAGGCCCCACGGCGCGTGAGCAGTGGAGCTGGCACTCAGACCAGAGCCGGGACCCTCTCCTCTGACCCGCTCCCCCGCCCCCACAGGTGTCACCATCTCTGAAGGGCTTCCTGGACCGCCTGCTGGTGCGCGACCCGGCGCAGCGGGCCACGGCGGCCGAGCTGCTGAAGCATCCGTTCCTGGCCAAAGCGGGCCCGCCCGCCAGCATCGTGCCCCTCATGCGCCAGAACCGCACCAGATGAGGCGCAGCGCCCGGCCTGAACCAAAGAGCCCCTGGGGTCACCCCCGCCCTGCCGGAGGCCAGCAGGGGGCGCCCCCGCTCCTCCCAGCCCAGGAGACACTCCATGCGGCACCGCCCTCCTGGCTGGGGGTGGGGGTGTGCGGGCCCCACTACTGAACTCTGGTTTGGATTTTGTGACTTTTCAAAAAACACAGGGACTCGTGGGAGCAAGTGAGGCTCCCGGGACCCCCCCACCCTCCAGGACAGGCCCTCCCTGTGTTTTCCTGTCTCTAGGAAGGACAGGCGGCCCTCCCATCACTGGAAGTCTGCAGTGGGGGCCGCTGGGGGTGGAGAGAACACTATGGAAGAGGTGTGTGTGTGTGTGCGCGCGTACGCCTGTGTGTGTGTGTGTGTGTGTGTGTGTGTGTATGCGTGCCCACGTGTGGAAGGTCCAGCTCCTCTGTCCTTCAGCCTGCAGGTGGGTGTCTCTGAGACCCTGCCTAACATACAGCCCCTCCCCCCTGAGCCATTGCGGGGGTCGATCATGAATGTCTGTAGAGTGGCCTTTTCCCTGCCCTGTACCCCCTTTCTGTAGCTGGATGGGGAGACAGGAGTTAGGGCTTCCCACCCACCCCCAGCCTCTGCAGAAAATGACTACTGCACCTGGACAGCCTCCTCTTTTCTAGAAGTCTATTTATATTGTCATTTTATAACACTAGCCCTCGCCCCCACCTGGGGACAGATGGTCCCTGTCCTGCGGGGTGGCACCGGGACAGAACCACTGCTTGAAGAATCAGGTTCCTGCCTCCTTGGTGCAGCCCCGCCCTCCCCTCCCTCAAGTTAGTTTTACAATTAAAACGTTTTCTTGTTTCCTGTGGTGTGTGTAGAGGCCCTCCCTGTCCAGGCGGCTTGGGGTGAGAATTTGGGGGAAAGGGTCTGGGATTGAGAGGGAGGCCTGGCTACTCCAGGATTCAGCCCAGCTTAGGGCAGGGGCCACATCTGTGGGTGCGTGGCGAGTTCCAGGTCAAAGCAGCTGGTAATGTTCCCCCCCCGTGGGGGCAGGAGTGACACCCCGAAGGCTGGGAAGGAGCCAGTTTACCAGGGTCCCTGTGCCGTGGTGACCAGTTTACCAAACCTGCGATTTGCTGGAAACTGTTTTAAAGGATGTTTGTCTTCAGCGTTTTCAGCGGGTGGGAACTGATCCGTGGTGAGTTGATGTTTGTAAATTGGTTAGCAGGCAGATGGGCCTTCGGGGGATCAGCTGAGGGGGATGGCAGCTGAGTCCTTCCCTCCAAGCCAAGGCCCTGGGGGGCTGAGTGGGGTCTCAGCAGGGATCTGGCAGACATTGAGGTGACAACGCTGCCTCTGCGATCTCGGCTCTGACCACCCCAGGCCAGTGTGGGCTTTGACTGGTGCGCCCTCCCCAGCACCCTGGGAGGTGTCGGGGCAGCAGCAGCCTGGTGGGGACAGGTGGGAGAGCGAGGAGTGAAGCCCCTCTCCAGCAGCTTCCAGGCATCCTTGGCACAAGGGCCCTCAGCCTGGTTTGTGGGCGGGAAGTGTGTGGTGTGGACGGAGAGTCCAGCTCAGCCCACACCCCGCTCTCCATGTCACCCCCACACTGTCTCGCCCCGGAGCACACCTCTCCACAGGCCCTGAGCTCCCCCAAGAATTGGGCTCTGCTCCTGTGACAGCCTGACGAAGTACACGCGTGGTCTGGAGAGAGAATCAGAGATTTCAGCATACTAGTGCCAGCAACTGTTGCTATACATCACTTAACGACGGGGATACATGCTGAGAAATGCATGGTTAGGGGATTTTGTCATTGTGGGAACATCACAGAGTGTACTCACACAAACCTAGACGGTACAGCCCACTACATACCTGGGCTACATGGTTCCAGTCCTATGGGACCACCGTCGTATATGCGGTCCGTCGTTGACCGAAACGTCGTGTGGCACATGACTGCATGTGAATGTGTTTGAGGCCTGGGTGAAGTAGATACATCTCTGGGAAAAAATATGCCAAAATTGGAGTAAGGAGAAATACAAGATAAGACCGAAATAACCCCCCACACACATATAAAAAAAAGGAAAGAAAAGCTTCAAGCTTGAATGCTTTTACAAATGAGTTCTACCAGACTGAAGGACCAGGTAATTCCTACCTTGTACACATGGTTCCAGAAAACAGAAAACGTGGGTGGCTGCCCGACTCGTGTTTGGAGGCTGGTGTGCCCGTGCTTCCAGAACCAGATGAGGGCGGCGAGGACAGAACAGCACAGAGCCTCACCCGCCCCCAAGGGCGCTGGTCCCATGGGCCCTGGGACGGCTCCAGGAGGCGCCACTCGCCAGGTGAAGAGGCCGCTCGAGACGGGAAGTCACTTCCCGGTCACATGACATCACATGTTGTGGAGGCAGCTCTGTCTGGCTCCTTGGTGACTCGGCTGTCATTGTCGCCTTTAGTCACGATTACTGCGGTTAATAGAATGGTTTTGGGTGGCATGGGGGAACTCCTCCCTGAGACCCCCAAGGTCTGCCGTTGCCCTTGCAAAAGGGGCTCCCACAGTATCTGTCAGACCCTCTAGGTGTTACAAGCAGGGCGTTTAATCCGGGGCGACGGGGGGTTACAAAGGCACTGTGAAGGCTGGAGGAGCCAGGGGGCCAGTGATCATTAGAGGCAAGAAGGCGCCCCCGTGGGGCTGGAGGAACAGAAGGGGTCGGTGCACCACTGCCCAAACCTGGAGTCTGCTCCTGCCTCCTGCGGCCGGAGCACAGTGGCTCTCCCAGCCCCCCCACCCCCGCCCTCTCCTCCCACTCCAGTGCCTCCTCCTCCTGTCAGGACCCTACTGAGTCCCAGGAGGTTTCGCAGGCTTCCAGCCTCGGCGGAACGAGGGAGCACGCAGAGGGACAGGTGTGGCTGAGCAGCAGCACCGTGGCACCCACTCGCAGTGTCCACAGGGACTGAGGGTCGCCTCGGCTGCCGCGGGAGGTGCTGCTCTGTGGGTGACGTCCTGAACCGCAAAGGCCCAGGAGGGGGAGAGAGGGATGTCTCAGCCTGTAGATCAGAGGCGTGCTTACAGACACCCAAAAGGAGTGACTGAGACAAGTCAGACCAGTGGTTCTCAAAGTGTGGTTCCCCGGCCAGCAGCATCGCTGGGAACTGGCTGGAAATGCAAATTCCCAGGCCCCACCCCAGCTGAATCAGAGACTCCGGGTGGGGCCCGGAAATCTGCATTGTAACAAGCCCTCCAGGGGATTCCGACGCCTGCTCAGGTTTGCTCTCTGTAAAAGGCCCAGGAGGGTGGGACTCAGCCCTGCGCAGTCCTTGGGGGCCCGGCCTTTCATCTTGCTGCCCCTCCCTCAGGTGGTCCAAGGGAAGAGGGGAAGAGGAGGGCACTGCCCTTCCTTCAAAGACATGACCCAGAGGTCGCACTGTTGCCTCTCTGGCCAGAGCTCAGTCACGTGGCTGCACCCCGTGGCAAGAGAGGTTGGGAAATGTAGTCCTTATTCTGGGCGACTGTGTGTCTAGCTGGAAATTCTATTAGTATAGAATATAGAATCATGGTTGGAGCTCCACCCCTGCTGTTCATTAGCTTCTCTGGGCTTCTCCCCAGAGACCCCAGAGGCAGACTCAAGTGTATGCAGGAGCTTAACATTTGATAAGGATGGCCCCACACATCAGTGGGGGAGAACAGACTGTTTAATAATAGCATTGGAGAAATTGGTTCATTTTGTGGAAAAAAAGAAAACCAAATCCCTGTTAGCACAACAAAAGGGAGTCCTACATCTATGCTGCCCGGTACAGCAGCCACTAGCCACGTGTGGCCATTTAATTTTAAATTAAAATGAAATAAAATTGAGCATTCAGTTCCTCGGTTGCACAAGCTACATTTCACACACTCAACTGCTGCTTTTGGCTGGTGGCTATGGATTAGACAGTATAGATGTGACACCTTTCCGTTATCTCGGTTCTGTTGGACCTGGTTTCTCTAGATGGACTAAACATCCCTGTGAAAGATAAACCAGAAAACTGATAGAGGAAAATACTTGATGACCTAGGGGCAGAGAAGGGCTTTTTTCCTTTAATCTAATGTGGGTTTCTATAAATCTAAACTGACAGGGTATCAATGCAAGAGAAGGACTTCTTAAAACTCCAAAGGAACAAATTATAAAGGAAAAATTTGATTATATCAAAATTAAAAATTTTTGTTCGAGGAACAACATCATGGACAAATGTAATAGACGGGTTTCAGCATGGGAGAAAATATTTGCAGAGTCTAACACTGATGGGATGCTTTTTTTTGGTGAGGAAGATCAGCCCTGAGCTAACATCTGCCAATCCTCCTCTTTTTGCTGAGGAAGACTGGCCCTGAGCTAACATCCGTGCCCATCTTCCTC